CTCCAGTCTGGGCGACAGAGTGAGACTCCAACTCAGAAAAAAAAAAAGAATGAAATTTAACCAGTGGGAAGACTTTTTTTGTTTTAGTTGCAGTCTTATTCTGTCAACTAGGCTGGAGTGCAGTGGTGCGCTCATGGCCACCACTGCCACAACCTGCTGGGCTCAGGCAATCCTTCCACCTCAGTCTTCCAGGTAGATGCAACTACAGGCATGTGCCACCACACCTGGCTAATTTTTTTTTTTAATGTAGAGTCCAGGTCTCGCCAAATTGCCCAGGCTGTTCTCAAACCCCTGGACTCAGGCAGTCCTCTCACCTCCACCTCCCAAAGTGCTGGAATTACAAGCATGAGCCACCACACCTGGCCAACTATTTTTTCTATCACATAAAAAAATGAAAAGACCAAGGTCTTTTCACATCCTTTAAATGTCTTACTGGAAGAATCACTCATTGTTTAGTATCCTAGTATAAAAAGTAAAAAGAGTATAAGTAATTACTGTGAGATAACAATAAACATAAAGACGAACATAAGTACAAATCATTGTGTGGAATACAATCTAAGAATTGTCCTACAGCCAAAATGAAAATAAGGCCTTTAAGTTATTTTGGAAAAGTGTTTATAGTTGTCATTTGAATGTCCATACAAAAGACTATATAGTACCATTTTACAGTTGCAGAAACTAGTTCAGCAACTGTGACTTGGCCAAAGCTGATCAACTTTTTTTTTTTTTTTTTTGAGTTGGAATCCCACTCTGTCACCCAGACTGGAGTGCAGTGGCTGCTCCTGGCCACCGCAGCCTCAACCTGCTGGGCTCCGGCAATCCTTCCACCTCAACCTTCCAAGTAGCCGGAATTACAGGCATGCGCTACCATGTCTGGCTGATTTTTTTGATTTATTGTAGAGATGAGGTCTCGCTGCCCAGGCAGGTCTCGAGCCCACGGGCTCAGGCAATCCACTCACCTCAGCCTCCCAAAGGCACGGGATTACAAGCTGAGCTACCGAGCCTGGCTGCTGATCAACTTTTAAAATAAAATGACCTCTCTAGGATAGGAAATGGAACGTAGGAAGTATTATGGTTCACTGCCAGCCAAATGACAGTACTTGCTATTTGAGAAAAAATAAAAACCAAAAGGTCACCTGTACTCCAGCCATTTTCTCTTACCACACTTCCTCCTTCCTCCTCCCCCCACACCAAATAAAAACAAAAAAAACACTACAATTTATTTATATGTGTTGCTGTTGTAGGTCTATATGGGAAAAAGTAAATGTTTCACTGCTCTAAAAAAAAGTATTATGGTTCAGAATTCAAATATTAATAGAAATCTTTCATAGATCAACTCTATTTAAGGCCTCCTGCCCCACTTAATTAGGGTTTGAAAATAACCTTTGGATTTCTCCATCATTCAGGAAGGATATTGGTGTTGAGACTGACATATCTGTCAAGGACAGTAACTACCATGGCTTCTGGTGCTTTGAGGAAACCTCAAATGCTTGGCCTTCAGGCCAAATGTCTGCAGTTTCATATTGTTGAAGCATTCATTGTATCCCTGGGGGTTGCAGCTTTCTATAAGTTTGCTGTGGCCAAATCAAGAAAGAAGGCATATGCAGATTTCTACAAAAATTATGATTCCATGAAAGATTTTGAGGAGGTGAGGAAGGCTGGTGTCTTTCAGAGTGCAAAGTGATTTGGGGATATAAAGAATTTCTTGCCAGGCTCGGTGACTCAGCCTGTAATCCCAGGCCGAGGTGAGAGGATTGCCTGAGCCCGCGGGTTCGAGACCAGCCTGTGCAACTTGGCAAGACCTCATCTCTACAATAAAAAAAATTAGCTGGGCATGGTAGTATGCACCTGTAGTTCCAGCTACTTGGAACGCAGAGGTGGAAGGATTGCTGGAGCCCAGCCAGTTGACATTAGGGTGGCCGTGAGGGTACCACTGCACTCCAGCCTGGGCGACAGAGTTGAGACTCCAACTCAAAAAAAAAAATTGGGGTTGAATTACATAGAAGTTTATCACTGAGCTGTGTTCCTGAACTATGAAACATGCTATATGGGCTAAGTAGTAGTTTATCTTGATAAATAAGCAATTAACAAATACTTTGGGCCGGGCTCAGTGGCTCAGCCTGTAATCCCGTGCCTTTGGGAGGCTGAGGTGAGTGGACTGCCTGAGCCCGCGGGTTCGAGACCCGCCTGGGCAGCGAGACCTCATCTCTACAATAAATCAAAAAACTCAGCCGGGCATGGTAGCGCATGCCTGTAGTTCCGGCTACTCGGAAGGCTGAGGCGGAAGGATCGCCAGAGCCCAGCAGGTCGAGGCTGCAGTGGCCGGGAGCGGCCACTGCACTCCAGTCTGGGCGACAGAGTGAGACTCCAATTTAAAAAAAAACAAAAAACAAATACTTTGGGAAAAAAAAGAAAATAACCTTTTAATAGCTGGGCATGGTGGCTCACGTCTGTAATCCGAGCACTTTAGGAGGAGGCTAAGGCAGAACAATTACTTGAAGCCAGGAGTTTGAGACTAGCCTGGGCAAACAAAGCAAGACCCCATCTCTACAAAAAGGATTTTTTTTTAAGTTAGGCAGGCATGTATCTAGTCTCAACCACTTAAGAGGCCAAGGCAGGAAGTTCACTTTAGCCGAGGTGGTTAAGACTACAGTGAGGTATGATCATGCCACTTGCATACCAGACCAGGGGACAGAGTGAGACCCTGTCAATAAATAAATAAAAATCTTTGATGTCCTCTATTCTTAATACCTTGTTCTCATTTCAGGAATCTAAATTTTTTTTAATCTTTCTGTGTCAAGCATCTTAAATTATAACTCAAAGTGGCCTATGAGCTGGATTGGTAATTTATATCTATGTATATATAGTGACTCCTAGTCAGGTGCTTCCCTTTCAGATATTTGTAAGCTATCCTGAGGGTACATATGCCATTGAGTACAGCATCTGTGCTGAAACTCCAAATGTACCTTGAATACTGTTAAGTGAGAGCTAGTCAGATGAATAAGACTGACCTACCACCTAGCAACTGCATCAGCACATGAGATACTCTTCTACACTGATTCATCACATAGGTTCATAAGAATTATGAGAGAAGGGCCACTTAAATTCAGTATTCTCCAACATAAAAATTCCCCACAACAAGATAAAATCTAAGATAAACTGCACTTGATCCAAGATGATACAACTGCCCCAAAAAAAGCAATCTTTATTGGAATAACTTAACCAGTAGGTATAGCTGAGAACACATATATCAATTGGTTAGGGCAATAAGAGCGTCTACCACGTTTCCCATGTGTTCCCGCAAGCTCCGTTCTGCTGCTGCTCGAGAGATCTCCATCTCTGTCATCTGCAGAAAAAGGATTGATCATATTACCTAGGTTTCCTCCCAGGCATTAACATGCTGCTAAACATACTGACTACTTGTTTCAGGAAGCAACCCAAATTAAGCATAACAACCTCCCCTGCCCATACACTAGTTAGGCACTGCTACTCACTATCAACTCCAGATCCTCCTTCTTGATGGTGACTTTTGCCAGTTCCTTCTCTCTGAAAATATTTATATATATATATTAGTTTTCATTCTCAACCAACACCACGGAAGCTCCCAGGAAAGATCATTCCCAGCTGTGCCCTGCAAGTAGATAAATCTTTTAAACACTATGACTCCCACCAATATCCTCCTCGTCTTCCCTGGAGTCTTTAACAGTCAGCAGGTGTTGTGAACCCTAGATCTGCAGGAATTGGGGATAGAATTGAAGAACAGTACAAAGTCTTAATAGCAGTTTTTATTTGTGTCTGAGGTATGGGGAGGGAGGAACTGTTAAGGCTGGCTCCGAGCTTAAGACTTACCGCTCCTGTTTGGCTTTCTGCTCTCGGGACCTTCTGTCTCCAATGACAGACATGGCCTATGAGAAAGACAGGTCTAGTTACTGCCCCGCTACCCACAATTCCCAGTGACCTAAAAGGCCAATAACAAGTGGCTCGTAGATGTATCCACAATGACGAGTACTATCGGGAAACAAGGACTATGCTTAATTCAACTCTGCACCTGAGGTCCGTTTAAGCCCTATCTCCACTAAGCTCCTCTTAGCAAGCGGCGGGTTCCGATGACGAATACTTCCCTAGGCTCTTCCTTTTACCCTATAGCCTCCTCCTGCCATCGGGATCAGAATCCTGTCTTGGAGCGCTGGCTTCCAGCTACAGCCTCAGAGCCCCCTCCGCTCAGTCCGCCCAGACACGCTCCCGGCCAACTTTACCGTTTCCAGATTGGAACTCTGAATCTCCTTCTCCTCTGCATAGTCGGTGACCCGCTCCAAGTCTGCCGCACCACTGTCGTGCTTCCGTGGCTTCTCCGGAGGCCGCTCTGGACCACTGGTCTCAGTCTCTAGCTCCAGCTCCACATCCCCCTCGGTCGCCATATCGATGCCACCACCACGCCGCCGCACACGCCCCACCTCCCGATGACTTCCGGCACCTGACCCGTAACTTCCGCCCAGAAAGGAGGCGGGGCTGGCGAGGGCCACACCTTCTTTATGCTCCGGTTCTAGAAGCTTCACCTGGGAAAGCGGCTGCCCTCTCAAACTTTTCCTTTCGGACTTGTACAGTGTTATTTTCCGAAAGGCGTTCTCTCAGACCTAACCCGTCACCGCTCCAGCCCCCCCCACAACTGACATCTTCCCCTCCACCTCCCTCCATAGGAACCATCCTTCCACCCACACACACACCCCTGGAGGAATTCTGTTCAGTCTAATCCTAAACCAATTAAGAATGCTAATCCACAGGAGGTCAGATATACAAACTGGTCCCTAATCTGGAGAAAACAGTCTGAGTAGCCCAAGTGGTGAGGCCCTCAGGAGACATCTTCACACGGGCATTTGCATTAACCACATCTTGGAGATCAGAGTTCTTTTCTTGATGTCCCCTATTGTGCCATAGGCTGGGTGCTCAACCCCGGGACAGTGGCAGTCCAATGGGCTGAGGACAAAAGAAGCTGGTTTTTCATCTACCTTCCATCTGGTGGACCTAAACCTAATTCCTGAGACAAAGATGGCGGGTGCAAAGACCGTCACAGGCCCCTGCACCTCCCTGGGCCTTGCACAGCAGAACAGCGGAGACAGCAGTGTCATAGTGAAAACCCCCTTCTATCAGGTGAGAGGATGCTTGGGCAGACAAGCTTAAAAGCTCTTTTAAGCAAAAGCTATCTGAAAAACTAAAAGGGTAGGGTGGCCGAAACTGGGGAAGAAAACCCACAGAAGCCCCCAAAAAGGGATAGGCCTTATTTTCTCTTTTAATACCCTTCCTCTTTCTTTGTCTCAGTAATATGTGTAAACCTCTAGTGCCACTTCCCCAGCCCCAATTATTTAGGTCTAGGGAAAGGTCAAATACCTCAAACCTATTTTTAATGAAAGCCTTGTAAGTTTTCAGTTGTCAATCCTGAATGGCTTGAACCAGCTTGAAATAGAATTCCTGAGTAAAAGAAAGGGAAAGGGGGAATTTTGGAACTCAACCTCTCAGGTTAACCTCACATATATTAACTTATGCCTTTCCTCAGCAAATCTTCACTTTGCTGCTTACATCTGCTCTACCCCCAGGTATCCCGCTTTGGGCCTGTTCCTGGTACCAGCTGCTGCCACTCTAGGTGGCCCTCTCTCACAGAGTCTACTTGTAGCCGCCTGTTGTACATCCTCCTCCATGTGGGGGCCTCGGCAGTCTGCTGCCTCCTGCTGTCAAGGACAGTAGTGGAAAAAGTCTGGGGCAAGGCACATGGGGTAAGTGGGAGGCAGTCACGTTGTAAGGTGGGAAGGGATAAAAGGAGAAACCCTGAAATAGAGATCCGGTTTGGGGGCAGATGAGTGGATGGACATACCAGGAGTAGGTACTTTCCATGCATTATGAATTGCCCTGCCATTTCTCACACACATACTCCCTCTAGATCCAGATGCCCTCACAGTTGTGTGCCCATCTGTTTGGCCAGTCTGACTGTCCAGTGCTCAGTGGCTCTGGGGCTGTGTACCGAGTATGTGCAGGAACCGCCACCTTCCACCTGCTGCAAGCCGTGTTGCTGGTCCACCTCCACTCCCCCACCAGCCCGCGGGCACAGCTGCATAATAGGTTTGTGTGTACTCTTTGGGTGGGGAGGGGACAGAGGAGGGAAGTAGACACAAGGTGGGTAAAGGAACTCCCAGGATAAATAGCACTGTAAAAAGACAGAAAACAGGTTTGAGTCCCTTCTTCTGCTGTACTTGCTGAGTGGCCATGAGCCAGACACTTACCCTCTTTGAGCTTCTAGTCTCTAAAATGGAGACAACAGTGGGGTTACTTTTTTAACATAACCCTTTATAAACTGTGAAACATTGCCCAGATGTTATTTAAGTATCTTTGAGTTAGAATTTGGAATATGGTGTAATAGGCCTATTCCAGCCCCTTCTTGCTTGGGATTGATTCTTCTCTTACAGTTGTCTCTTCTCTGCCCTCTGTAGTTTTGCCTTCTCTTTTGCCTTCCACCACAGGCACTCATCGCTCTCCTTTGCCTTTTCTCCTGAGTCTGGTTTTCTCTCCCTAACCAGCTTCTGGTTCCTCAAGCTGCTGTTCCTGTTAGGTCTCTGTGCTGTTGCCTTCTGCATTCCTGATGAGCATCTCTTCCCAGGTATCCTGCATCTTAACACCCTGCCGATCGGGGGTAGGCTATGTTTTCTAAGATAAAAAGTGTGTAAGAAAGAAGTAATAATTTGACCACATTTTTCCACTGGTGCCCATGGTACAGCCTGGCATTACATTGGAATCTGTGGAGGCTTCACCTTCATCCTACTGCAGTTGGTGCTTATCACAGCCTTTGCCCATTCCTGGAACAAGAACTGGTAAGAAGCATGTAATCCTAAAAATTCTTCCTGGAGAGATTCTCTGGCATTACTTCACTCTTAAGGGCTGGGCAAAGGGCATAGTAGGTCACTGGTCCCATCGTTTCCCCCTAAGCAGTATCAAAAAGCTTATGATATGATGATTGCATGGGCCAAGTTGGATGGATGGTCATACCAGTCTTCCCAGAGAAGAGGAATAGTTGGTAATGGATAAAAGAGAGTTGGAGCTCTGTGCCTGGCCCATAGTGCATCTATTAATTACCTATATTAGAAAAAAATAAAAGTTGGAGCTCCAACCCATTGCCCATCTTCTACCCTTAGGCAGACAGGTGCAGCCCAAGACTGCAGCTGGTTCCTAGCTGTGCTGCTGGTCACCCTAGGATTCTACAGCATGGCAGGTGTTGGAGCTGTGCTCCTATTCCGCCACTACACACACCCAGCTGGCTGCCTGCTCAACAAGATGCTGCTTAGTCTGCACCTTTGCTTCTGTGGCCTCCTCTCCTTCCTCTCCGTCGCTCCTTGCATCCGCCACAGTGGGTACATGTCCTATAACGTTCCAGTTTTGGGAGTCTTTATAATATAGCAAATTCCATTAGCCTGCCTAATCTCAACTGTCGGATAAAAGAATCCCTGCTTCCCCCAAGGGATGGGAAACCCCAAGTGCAGGTTGGGGGTAGAAATAGAGGAAATTACCACCCTGTACTAAAGCAATGATACCCATGCTCTCCAGAGCAACCCCGCTCTGGCCTTCTACAAGCCTCTGTCATCAGCTGCTATATCATGTACCTGACCTTCTCTGCACTGTCCAGTCGTCCTCCAGAGAGAGGTAAGGGATAGGACCTGGACTCCCCACATTAAAACCTTTTTGCTCCTGCCAAATAACCAGTTCATCGTTCTTACAACCTTTCTCTTCTCTTGCCCCTTCCCAGTAATCCTTCAAGGAAAGAATCACACCCTGTGCCTGCCTAGCCTGAGTAAAATGGAGCCCCAAACACCAGACACCTCGCTAGCAGTGTTGAGTGCTGGCATCATGTATGCTTGTGTGCTTTTTGCTTGGTGCGTAAAAGTATCAAGGGAGAGGAGGGAGGGTACCTAGGACCAGAATGGACAGACAGGAGAATGTCTGGGACTATGGGTTAAAGTTAGAGCAAGGCTAGAGTGAGAAAAGTTCCACACAAACAGGACACTGTCTAAGAATAGCACTCTATCAGATGATATGTATGAAATGAAAGGGGCAGGAGGGGAATGACTTGAGACTTTAAAACATGTACAAAGATTCTGGAGCCCTCACATGAGTAAAATTCTAAACCTTTGGTAGAAAGGGGCACTGGGAGCACAGTACACTCTTGAGGGTTACCAATATGGGCCAATTGGCAATAAATGCTCCCAGACAACCCTGCTATTTGACTAGACCAGCTTGAGAACTCTCTTCTTTCTCAGCAATGAGGCTTCCTACCTGGCTGAGGTATTTGGACCCCTGTGGATTGTCAAGGTTTACAGCTATGAGTTCCAGGTGAGAATCGAAAGCTCAATATCCCCAACACCCCCACACCCCAACACAAACACACACACACACATCCTACCAACCTCTACCCAAAATGCTCAGATTCTAGCTGCTATTACCTTTTTATTAAGTACCCACAATGTGCTAGGCACTGTGCTAGATACTTTACATACATATCTCATTTAATTTAATCCTCACAACAACCCTGTGAGGTAGGTATTTGCTCCATTTTACAAATGGAGAAATTGAGGCACAAAAGATTAAACATCTTACCAAAGTTCGCATAGCCAGTTATATGCTGGAGCCAGCATTTGAACCCAGATGTGCCTCCACTTTTTACATTAGACCAATCTTTTCAAGGGGGAGTTTCCTAGATTAACACCCCTACATTATTTTAAGGTTATCCCAAAACATCCTGCCTTCTGTCTTGCAGAAGCCCTCATTCTGTTTCTGCTGCCCCGAACCAGCGAAGGCAGAGGAAGGTAAGTGACCAGTGAGAAGCCATAAGAAACAGTAGACTTCTGTGGAGTGCCAAAGAACCCACAAGAGCAGCATTCACAGAAGTAGCTGGTACTGGGAGGGAAGAGGTGTTTTAGCAGCACTGCTCCCAGCAGTCCTTCTGTCTCTCCAGGGCAAAGGGGTGGGGCTGCCAGGCCAGCTGACCAGGAGACCACTCCAGTTCCTCCAGTGCAAGCCCAGCATCTTTCCTACAGCTACTCTGCCTTCCACTTTGTCTTCTTCCTTGCCTCACTCTACGTCATGGTTACTCTTACCAACTGGTTCAGGTAAGATGAAGCTGGGCCTGAGATACTCTCCTAAAGACCTATTTTAGGGAATTCCTGACACAAATGGGTCTGCCTTAATCTTTCATAGGGAGGTAGAACAAGCGTAAAAGCTAAGTCCCTGAATATTCTCTAAACAAAACCTTTGATTCTACAGCTATGAGGGAGCAGAACTGGAAAAGACCTTCACCAATGGTAGCTGGGCTACCTTCTGGGTCAAGGTTGCCTCATGCTGGGCCTGTGTACTCCTCTACCTGGGGCTGTTACTGGCACCACTCTGTTGGTCCCCTACCCAGGACCCCCAGCCCCCTATCAGGCGACGCTACCATCGCATCACTATCGCCAGATAACAAATGGCCTCCAGTCTAGGTCCATTTAACAAACTGAAGTTCCCCTGAGATTATACTCCTAGTCTGGGCTCAGGGGAACTGTCCAACCCAGCTCAACACCTCAAGGACACACTAGGGAGTTATCTGCCTTTAGGCTGAAGTCAGTATTTTATCTGAATTGGGAGAAGTGGTCATATACACACCCTAATGCCCTCAGCAGCATATCACTGGAGCTACCATTATGTCTTCATCCCAGCTCAAGAGCCTAACTCCCAAATCTGCAGCTCAGAAACCACTGCTGATCCCAGCAGACAGTGTGGCACCAGCCCTTTCCTGGCTCTTGAGCTGAAGGCGGGGGCGGGGAAAGACCAACAGGGACTGAAGAGTTGGCTCTGCCTTTGGAGATAAAAAGGAAAATAAGCAGTCCAGCCCCGGGCACAGGGATATAAGAAGCCCAGAACCACAGAACAAACCAGGGCACAGGAAGAAAGGAGCACAGAGGCAACCCCCAGGTTTTAATCCTGATCTCGAGGATAAGGGAAGGACGAAGACAAAAACCAACCTCATTCTATGAATGACAGAAGAGAACGTGAACACTTGAGAGCAACTGACCACGGGAAGTCGGTGAGCAGCAGGATTTTTTGGCCAACTTTCAAACAGATGAACAAACTGAGGAAGAATGAGGAAGAGAGGCACAAACTTAGGTCTTGGAGCCTTCCCTCTTAGGCCCTCAACTCCATCCTTGGGACAGTGTTCAAGGTCTGGGTGGGGAACAAAAATCACAGATAAGAAGTCTCCATGGTTCTTAAGATTCCTCTACCACATATCCGGAGTACTTGTCTGGTTGTCATTGTATAATAAAGGCTTCTACTGTGATGTTTCACGTAATAAGACTATATATCCATAACCTCTTAGGAGTCTAAAGAGCTCTCCCCTTTTGGTGGGAAAGGGCAGTCATTCCTCCATCCCCATCCTCCCAAATCCCCAGTCAAACCAGGCGCTCAAGGAATTACAAAGCTACTTTTAATACTTTGGGGTGAGCCCCACAGGAATAAAAAACACTGGGAAGGGGTAACCCCCTCACCCCCAGGAGTGGCCCAGGAGGAGAGAGGCTACCTGAGGGGAAGGAAGCACAAAAGGGACCCGCTGCAGACTCAGGGCAAAGGGAATGCCATCGGTGCTGGGACCTGTGAGCACTACAGGAGGAAACGCGAGCGTGGTGGGACTGGCTCCAGGCACACAGGCGAAGGGCAAGAGGGTTGGACACGAAGCCACAAAGCTACTTGGGTTCCTCCTTCTTCTCGTTTGCCTTTTTCTGCTTCTGCTGCATGATCTCCGAGTCCCTGGGGGTAGAGATGATGGGGCACTGGGAGGTACCAGAGGGCAAAAAGGACAAGATGCAAGGGGATGAAGGGCACAAAGGACAAGATGGAAGTGGATGGGACTAAGTTCAGCATGTGGCTGTTGTATTCCCACCCTAGGAGAACAAGAGGAAGAGAGCTGAGGCTCAAATGGCAGTCAGTCTCCATCTGGCTGTTGCCCAAGGGGTCAGAAGTCTGGCCACACAGGCCCAAGGCTCTCTATCCTGTGCTGAGTACCACACCCAGCAACACCAGTGAGAAGGTTGGGAGAAGGGAGGAGAACCGAACAGCAAGGAGGGCCAAAGTACTGGGCTGGCATAATCACAACTGTATCTGAAACGTGAAGCTCCCTGCCCTTGCCCTAAGGTCAAACCTAGGGGCACTCCTCAGAAATCAGGCTGAGGGCAGGCTCCCGCCCCGTCCCTTCCTGTTAGACTGTGAGCTAACAATTTGAAGGCTGGGGAGGAAATAAAACTCCAGAGGAAGCAATACACTCTGCCCCTCACTAGTCCAGATTCAAGCCCTGAGGTAGCTACTCTTGCCTGCTACAACCCTTAGTCTAACCTAGGTCTCCCCCATCCCCTCCCCTCCCTGGGGCTACCTCTGCTTGCGGGCAGCAGCAGAAAGCCCGTCATCTCGGCGCTTTCCCTTAACCGAGTCGCTCTGTTTTTTCATATTCTTCTGGCGGGCGAGCTCACGCTGGTTACCGCCTAAGAAAAGAAGGTGAAAAGTGAGACGCGGGGGCCGCTCTGGCCACATACCGGCGACCCTTCTGCCCCACCCCGGACTCCAGCAGGGTCCAACACTACAATCCCCGGGCCCCAACAGCGGCCCGTTTCAGGACCCAGGCTGCTTGTGGTCAGGGGGAGTGGCGAAGCTGCCACGGGCCAGGTCACATTGCCGGGTGGAGGAAGGACGGACCCGAAGAGCCAGCTGGAGGCGTGTTCTGAGTTTTGGGGCGGCGTGGGGGCCCAGACAGTTGGTGAGGTGTGTGTGGACGGTGCGGGTCTCTGTGGGGGATGGGCTGATCGTGGAGTATGGGGCTCCGGGCCTATCGCAGAAGCGCAGTTGTCCTCACACAGCGAAAGGTCGGGGAGGGCCTATGCCTAACAGGGGCGTTTCATGAAGTGGCGGTGGGGAATGGTTCGGTTTCCGGGCACCGAATGTGAAGGTGGCTACACAGCGCTCCCAGAGAAAGGCCTCGCTGAGGAAGCTAGGGGAGGTCAAGGCCGACGGTTCGGCGGTCACGTTCAGGGTGGACAGAAAGAAAAGGGCAAGGGGAAGGGGGTCTCGATGCTCACGGGTCATGGCGACGGCAGCAGCTCCAACCTGCCTCCGTTGCGTCCCCTCGTTCGGTCCGACGTTGCACGCCCCGCCCCCTTCTTGCCGCGTAACTCAGTCGTCCCTCCCCCCCTTCGTGCCCCACCTTCGTGCCCGGGCGCAGACTCTCATTGGACAAGAAGAAACACGTGGGGCCGCGGGCCACACTTGAGCCTGGGCGGATAAGGGGCGGAGATTCGCGGGCGGAGCGCGCAGCGTGGGGCGGGGCTTCTCGAGCGAGGCTTTGGGCCAAGCCTGAAGAAACTAGACCGGGTCACGTGGGCAGGGTGGGGGCGGAGGGGTGCGGCTGGCGATGTGGCGCTCCCGCGAGCTCTAGCACGTGACCGGCAGAGTGACCTCATGCGGGGACAGTTTAGGATACTGACGAACTCGCCCTGAGGCAACACGGGGAGACGGAGGGCGGGGGTTCACGGTTTACGGTACAGCGGTAGTTCAGTCAGTTATCTGGACGCTACAACTAAATGTGGCCCTATTACTTGGGACCCCCTTTAGCCACTTAATTTGGACTCGACATGTCCACAGCTCGCGTAAAATCCTGTACAAACAAAACTTCAGAAACCCCCTTCAAAGTCCCTCCAATAGTCGCAGCCACATCTGGTATGTCCTAAGAACCTGATCCTCCTTATTTCCTCACAGAAGCTTTAAACGAGAAGATGTAGTAGCTTGGAAGTACTGGGGGATTCCAACAATCAGACTATGGAGTCGGGTCGGGGCTGAGACGGGAATGCACGTTTTTCCTCACAGTTCTCCACTGTGCTGTCTTCACCAGGCACACCTGGGTTGTAAGAGACTGTTGAATAAGAAAGGAAGCTAAAATTAAACTCATTAACCTTATGTCTGCAAGATTCCCTACCAGATCTGAGAAATTGGATAAAGGAGGAATGCTTAGAAAACATCACAGGAAAGGACTGGCTGTAAACTTTTACTTAGTCTCTCCAGCTAAGTGCCCACAGCAGAACCGAAATGAGGCTAGAACTTCAAACCGGCTTTCCCCTCAACATAGAGCTAATGGGAAGTACCATCCTCGGGATCTCTTCTATACCCAAGTATCACCCGGATTACCGTTACTTAATATTTTTGTATCAGTCTTAAATAAGAGATACAAATCAAACTTCAAGTTCCTATAGTAAATTTAAAATCAGTATCACTTGCCAGAAAGTAACTATCACTTATCAGAAAGTAACTATAAAATAAATACAATGAAAATGAAATACATTATTAAATTTTGCCCAAATAATGTCATTGCCATAGGCGCTGAGCCTGGGACCAACCTTTCTTAAAAAGTGAAATTAACAAATGTTAAAGAGGCAGTAAGGCATAAGTCTTCCAAACTGAAGCTTTTCGTGACATAATCAGAAGGTTGAAAAACTTTTTTTTTTGGGACAGGCACTGTGACTCAGCCTGTAATCCCAGCACTTTGGGAGGCTGAGGCAAAAGGATTGCCTGAGCCCAGGGGTTCGAGACCAGCCTGGGCAACTTAGCGAGACCTCATCT